CTAGAGAGATTTCAATCAGATTTTGAAGATCCAAATCTAGCATCCAATTAGGAAACTTCAAGCCTTGATACGACCATATGCTCAACTTCTTTAGATTTGGATGAGGTTGGAGACCATCAAGAATTTCTTCATCATTATCTAGTAAGTTGTCAGTCTTGATATCCCCGTAATCCAATATCAAAGCACAAAGATCCTGCTTCCTCTTTAAGTTGGCACTTCTTGCGTCCTCTGAATCTCTTACATTATGGAGTCCCTTGATGGTCAACTCACCACTAAGATTTAATTCTTCCAGCTCGCCTATTTGTTGACCACCGTCCGAACCCACAATAAAGATGCTTAAAGTCTGTAGGTGTTTTAACTGCCCGAGTCCAGCAGGCATACAAACAAGAGAATTACATCCATTAATGTCAAGACATCTAAGATTTCTCAAATTTTTCATACCTTTGGGCAATTCACGAAGTTCAGTGCAACCTTTCAGCTTCAATATCTGTAGATTTTGCAGACAAGTCATTGATTCCGGTAAGGAATTGATGCTACTGCTCGACATGTTGAGGTACCTGAGATGTTTCAAATTCCCAATTAAAGATGGTACTTCGTTCAAGTAACGGTTATTCAACCCCAACACTCTCAGATTACTTTGTTTTGAGATGTAGGTAGCAATATCCTTCTCGTTCATTGCTGATGATAGAAGTAAAATGGAGCGTAAAGATTGAACTTTTAGCACAACTTCGTATCGAGGAAGCATCCAATTTGAGATCTGATTAAAAGATAAATGGCGAACTTTTTCTGGAATTTTCAGTTCCTTTCGAGGCTCTATTATGTAGCATTCTTGTATCATAATAGACACTGCAAGATCATGCATCAGATCATGCATTTTACATGTCAAGTCACCCTTGTAATCCTCCTTGACATCTTGAAAGAAAGANCAAATGCCCAATTGAAGATGGTAATTTTTCAGTTTTATACCACCCTGACCCATGTGCTGTCATTGTTTCCCTATGACTGAGCAACTTATGAAGCCCACAATAACTTCCGGGCTTCGACATCTGCATGTTTTGAAGAAAACTCGTTGATTTCGGAATTTTTATCCAAGAGCTCGACATGTTCAGGTACCTAAGATGTTTCAAATTCCAAATTGACGATGGTAATTTGTTAAAGAGACACTCATTCAACTCCAACACTCTCAGATTACTTTGTTTTGAGATGTAGGTAGCAATATCCTTNATGAGATGTTTTAAATTCCCAATTGAAGATGGTAGTTTTTTAACATAACTCCATTTTGACTCCAGCCCTTCAAAGTCACATTTGCCATTGGACAAATTACAAATGTCATGACAATATTTGAACTTCAATAACTGTTGGTTTTGAAGACAACTACTTGATTCCGGTATTTTTATACAAGAGTCAGCCATGTTTAGGAATCTCAGATGTTTCAAATTCCAAATTGACGATGGTAATTTGTCAAAGAGACACCCATTCAAGTCCAACACTCTCAAGTAACGTTGTTTTGAGATGTAGGTAGCAAAATCCTTTACGTTCACTCTCCCAAATAGAAGTGCAATGGAGCGTAAAGATTTCACTTTTCGCACATCTTCGGATCGAGGACAAATCCAAGATAACCTCCCATAAAATGATAAATGGCAAATTTTTTCCGGAATTTTCAGNTGTGAGCTCCCATAAAAAGATAAATGGCGAACTTTTTCTGGAATTTTCAGCTCCTTCCAAGGCTCTATTATATAGCACTCTTGTATCATAATAGACATTGCAAGATCATGCATCAGATCGTGCATTTTACATGTCAAGCGACCCATGTAGCCCTCGTTGACATCCTGAAAGAAAGACCTGCAAACCAAATTATTGAAGATCCCACGGCCCATACGATACAGATCTGTTTCTCCTTTAGAGTGAATGAAGCCGTTTGCAATCCAAAGCTCTATCAGCATGTCCACCTCCATTGCATAGTCTTTGGGAAATATTGAACAATAAACAAAACATTGCCTCAAAGATGGAGATATATTGTCNGCTCTATCAGCATGTCCACCTCCATTGCATAGTCTTTGGGAAATATTGAACAATAAGCAAAACATTGCCTCAAAGATGGAGATATATTGTCATAACTTAGCCTTAGGACTGGTGCGATGGCATTTTCATCATCTGCTAATCCCCAAGTTGCACTTTCTTTCACAGATAACCATTCACTTACGTTGTTTTTAAACCGCAACAAGCTTCCAAGAGCCTTTATTGCCAAGGGCACCCCGCCACATTTCTTCGCTATTGCCTTGCCAATCGTTTCCAACTCTATGTTTTCCTCGGATTCCTCCCTCCTTCCAATCCCGAATGCACGGTGCTTGAATAAAATCCAAGAATCATCCTCCGACAACCATCCCAGGTTAAATATTGGAAGAGTAGCCATCATGAGAGCAATTTTCTCAATCCTGGTGGTTACTATAAGCATACTTCCTTTTGCTCCACATCTCAATACATCTTTTAGTCTATCCCACTTCTCATTTTCTTCATTCCACACATCATCCAACACAAGTAAAAATCTCCTCCCACTCAATTTTTCTTGGAGGCGTTTCTGCAGTGGATCCAACTCTGATATATTGCACTCTACACCTTCTATCGACTCAATGATAGCCTTGGTCAGCCGTCGTATTTTGAAATCCTCAGATACACACACCCAAATAAGCAATTCAAAGTGCTTCCGTACCCTTGGATCATTGTAAACCAATTGAGCAAGTGTGGTCTTGCCGAGCCCTCCCATACCCCATATAGTATAGACCGAGAGATCATTCTGATGGCTCGAATTGTCAAGCAACACTTTAATTATCATTTCTTTATCATCATTTCTACCATAAATATCCGACTCAACCACAAGTGAGCTAGTTTGTCTTCCCTCCAAGTCGTAAACTTGTGAATCAATAGCACCCTCTTTCAAGTGGAACTTAAATCTCTCCCCTGCAATGGCATCTAATCTCTCCCTTATATCTTTCACCTTATGAGCCATTCTTAAGCGAAATACGAAAGGATTTCGAGGCGTGAAGAAGGCACTTACTTGGTTTATCACACCTCTTTGACGGTCTTCCTTTTGTATGAGAGCTTCGGTCGCAAAATCATCCAATATATTGTCGACATCATAAGCTGCATCTTTGAGCTTTCTCAGCCAATTCTGCAGAGCCTCTTCCTTTGTTTGCCTGGCCTCCGCATCGTGAAGCACAGCTTGAATTGTAGTAAAAGTACTCTCAAGACGCCGAATCTCATCCTTTAGTCCCCAAGATATTCGAAATTCTTGCAGTAGTGAAGAATTCAAGTTTCCCAAGATGGTACTCACAAGCCCAGAAAGAAGTGCATCTGCCATACTCTCTTGATTTTGATCTCTAGCAAGAAGAAACTCAGCACAAGAAGATTGGAAGCTGAACCAATATTATCGCTCACACTTCGGTAACGGAAATGAATGTTAAGGGAACTCAGAGCCACCAGTGGGAAAGGGACAAGGGGTAAGCTTAGTCTACAACTTTGATCCATCAGTTTTCCATCTCGGGGTCCACACGGTATTGATCAGAGACCGATGAACACCTTCCTCCAATCGTATTACGCCACCCAATTCGATTCGGACAGAAATCATTTAAATTGTCCAAAAAATCTTAGCCAGTCGTTAAACTCGTAATTTACATGAAAGTGTCCCTCAATCAAGTCGTATTGGTGTCATCCTTTGAACAATGCTTACCGATGGGTCCGATAAGACGCACGTCACTATCTCTATTAATTAATTAAAATCACCATTTTCAATTAGATTATAGAGACTCAAATTAAATACTTACAAATCACAATATAACAAATAAAAATTAGGAATCAAAGTAAATCAGTCCCTCTCTCTTTCTCTCTTTTCCACATTGGGCTCCACACGGTTTTGAGCTTTCTTTCTTTGTTTTATTTCCCCGCGGCCCCCTTCTCTCTTGCAGCTCCGTTCCAACTTGAAGGGATTTCATTTGAAATATTTCTCAAAGTTCCATACCCTGCTCACTGTTGTCAAACAGAGTTCATAACGTTACAAACCATGTTGGCTTCATTTTTAATTTCTTGCATGAAGTCCCAAAATTAATCCGACTTGTTTATTATGTTCGGGTTGACCTGAATAACTAATAAATCAAAATTGCAAGACAAAGAATTTCATCATCTCTCAACTAAACCCCCTGCCCACAAGTAAAATTCATACAAAAAAAAAATGGAAAATCCATGCTGATGCCTTATCAAAAAAACAAAAATATTTTATTTAAACAATACTAGTTAAACTTTTTTGTCATGTCAAAACATATTATTTGTATTTGACAATAAGTCAACCTATGTACTGATTGTATTAGAACATGTCCTGTCATTTTCAAATTTGTGTCAAGGACTATTCGACCTTAACCGGTTAATTGTATTTGAATTTATTATGTCTTACTAATATGTAGCGTCAAATCTTTATATATGAATCTTTAGCGTCAAATCTTTAGCGTCAAAGCTTCATAGCCAATCCTCAGTTAGTTGCATGAATCTGACAACCTGAACCAAAATAANTTCATAGCCAATCCTCAGTTAGTTGCATGAATCTGACAACCTGAACCAAAATAATTTTGGAATAAAAAAAATCAAAATTGTTGGTTCGCAGCTACTTTATGACCTTCATGTTTACAATGTTATACTGCACATGCATTCCACCACTATTGTGTGCAACCCAAATCCCACTTGCTAAACCACTTTGTACGAGTCTTTCTTCAATTAATAGCTCTTATTGCAACCAGGAAAATCCCTTCAATTCTTCCACACTCAAATAGCTCTTCCTTATCGTCAACCCTCCGTTCCTCTTCTCCCCTGAATTTGCCAACTAACTCCCTCTCATTTTTCCATCTGATTTTACATTCTTTGAACCCACCGAAGGGGTCATCGAATTCTCCATCATTGCCGACAACATATTCGCAGTTCTTTAGTTTTGTTTTTGCAAAAATGACAAAAAAATCAAGCACTAATTGTGAGAGAACATAGGACCTTGTTTGCCCTCTGGTGGTGTAGTTGTTAGATTCCCATGGAAATTTGCCTTGTTTCCTTGGTGACGCCAGACTTAATTCATGTTCTTGGGGTGGTTGTTTCATGTCCTTGATTCTAAGTTGTGATTCTCTTAAATCACCGTATGCTTTGTATTTGGATTCTTTATATATGATGAAGTTCTTTGTTAAAAGTTGGAAAATCTGATGCTCTCTCCATGATGAAGTTCTAAATCGACCACTTCCAATATGATTAATTGATAAATGGCACAGATTCTATTAAGATGAACCATTCATGAGACAGATTCCATTGATATTAAATGTTAATGAGATAGATTTTGTTAAGATTAACCGGTAATTTATCTCATTCAACAATTAATCTTCACAAAATGGATCAATTAAAATAAATTACATAGTTCAGGGGGATAAATTAGAACAATTGAAATTTATGGTTAAAATTTAAAACAAAGGCAATAGTTCATCAGAGGGTATTTATCAGATTTACCCTTTCAATAAGTAAAATTACATTTAGACCACCTAAATTATACCTTAATTTTGCATTATCCTCTAGATTATCCACTCTCCAACATTACACCTTGAACTATTGGTTTGAATTTTGCAAAGCCTCAATTGTTGGCTTTGTCTATTTCTCTTTATGACGCCCAGCTGAGCAAAGAAATACCACTTCTCCTACAAATTATGGGATCTATTTTTATCCATATTTTTTATGAAAAGTTGGATAAAAGTCAATGAGAGGGTAATGTGAAGTTAGGATTAACAGTTCAAGGTGCAATGTGATTAAGCAGATAATTTAAAAAACAATCTGAAAGGACATAATTCAATGGGTCTAAATTTAATTTCCTTTAATAACATCAACTATATTTTTGTTTAAAATTGTATATTTGTCTTTATTTAAACTTCTAGAATATATTAAATGAACAGTAATGCTATACTGACCAAATTTAGAGCTCAAATGACAGGACAGCATATTATTTGAAGTCTTTATTGGGGCTCAAATGACATGGCACCAAATAAAAAAGCTCAAGTCAATTGTCATGTCATTTGGACTCTAAATTTGGTTCCAAAATTTGGTCAGTGTTACATTACTGTTAAATGAATAATATCATAATTTGTGTGTTTTTGTAAACAAGAGAAATTACCAAAATTCACTATTTTATCCATTATTTTTGAATAATATTATGTGAAAGTCATATTTGAATAAGTTTGGGTTATAGTATTTTATCTCTATAAACAGAGTTGAGTATTACATAAGCAGTTTAGCAGATGACCAGTTTGTTAGTTAATAATACATCAATGCACCTTTTTGGTCTTTAGATGTAGGTACGATGTATCGATGTTAGTACACTACATTGAATCATGCTATATTTTTGTGTTTTGTTTTATTATTTTTTCTATCTTGAATTCCTATCTCCCAATTCATAGTACCAGTATTAACTATCTACTGTGTAAAACCAACAAGTACTATCAAAGCTAGATTGACGATCACAATGAAACAATCAAATTTAGATTGATGATCGTAGTGAAACAATCAAAGTAGGTTGTTGATGATCCAACAATCAAGTTGGTATTCATGTTGTAGAAAACTCTTGTGCCACATGTATACGACGTGGTGTGAAGATTGATTTTGTGGTGTGTACATTAAGGACGTAATCCTGAAATCTTTTGATACAGTGTTTGGATCCACAAACCAAAAAAAAAACACAAAGTAATATTATCATAATCAATGGCCGATGATTCTGGCAAAATTATTCAGGCAATCTAGCGTGCCAATTCGAAGATGGTTCTTCGAGAATTTAGGCTCTTGAGTTATAGCCATGTTAATATAATGGGTTGAAATGTATTGCGCTGACATTCACCTAATATTAATTTGATGTCACTTACGTATGTTTACTGGACACTAGGCTTCGTCTTGATAGATTAGGAAAACAATTGACCATTGAATCCTCCCAAGCGTAGGTATGTAGGTAGAGACGTATAAATGAAGTAGTCAAGGTGTGAACTCATAAAAGTTAGATTAGATTGTGGCTATTCGAGTAGATTTGCGCATGGTGCTTGAAGAGAGTAATGAATCAAAATTAAGCGAGAGTTGAATTTGATGTGGTTCATACATGAGGAGTTTGTTGGGACAACACATGTAAAAATCTCACATCGAATAGGAAATAAATTGAAAGAATCCTAACATACCTTGAATATGTTTATTAGTGACCAAATCAAATAAGAAAAATAAATTGGAAGAGTTCTAATATATTTTAAATAAGTTTATTAGAGATCTAATAGAAAATATTAAGATTATATAGTTAGTTATCAGATGATCCGTTTACTAGTTAATAAGACAACGATGTAATTTTTTAGTCCGTAGATGTAGGTACAGAGTACCAATGTTTTACACTGTATTGACTCATGTTATATCTTTGTATTTTGTTGTATTATTTTTCCTACCTTGAATTTTTAACTCTCAACTTATGGTATGAGCGTTAATTATCCATGTTGGGAGGATATANTTGAGTATTATATAGTTAGTTATCAGATGATCCGTTTACTAGTTAATAAGACAACGATGTAATTTTTTAGTCCGTAGATGTAGGTACAGAGTACCAATGTTTTACACTGTATTGACTCATGTTATATCTTTGTATTTTGTTGTATTATTTTTCCTACCTTGAATTTTTAACTCTCAACTTATGGTATGAGCGTTAATTATCCATGTTGGGAGGATATATGCAAAATAGTTATTTAAATTTCTTATATAAATCATGCAACTAAAAACAAAACAGTAACACATAAACTAGCCAAATTTTTGACAATGAACTGTTAAAAAATTTGATCAATACTAGTATTTCACACTATGTTTTTAGGAAAGATTTCGCCTCCAGTCAAATACTTATGGATTGTTGAGTATTTGTCTCCCAAGATACAATAATTCATGCAAAACACAAAAAGCACTGCAATATATATTTATGGTGACACGTGTTTCGTACTATGTGATATGAAGACTATTAACCAAGAGATAAATGATTGTAATGATCGCCTTAATGATGAGTTTTTGTTAAATATAAATGCTAATGAATCTGGACATATTTATAAACGCAGAGGTGGCTCTTCGGAACAGTCACCAGTGACCAGATGCAACCCATAAAGGCACCAGAGATGCCCATTATTCAAAAACCATCAAACAATTCAAAATAAGATTGGTGGAAAATCCAAATTTAAACCAATGCAAATTTTAAATTATAATGGGCAAAAAGGTTAAATTTGGGTAAGAAATTAAGAACCCAATTAGCCAAGCCCATGAGCAATGGGCATTTGGTCCAATAGTACTCTTTGTCTTGTAAAGACTTTACTTTCTTGAGGTCAAGGGTTTAAATTCCCCTTCCCCCTTTCCCTCCCCCTCTCCCTCCCACTCCCAATCCCAATCCCAATCCCAAAAACAAAACAAAAAAAAGAAAA